TATATATATTCATTAGATCAAAAATATCATAAAAATATTCTGGATTTTGATATTTTCGGATGATAAAAGTGATCTCACCCGAAAATAGGGGGACAACAGATACATCATCAATAAATTTTCATCGTCCGACACGAATCTCGAGGCATGACATGGATCTCGAGATGATGTTTTAAATAAGAAACGTTCAATTATTGATAAAAAGTCATCCAGAGCTCTGATTTCAGCAAACTTATAGTCAAATTGATCGGCTCGATGATGTGAATCTAATAGTATAAAAACTAGTTCAATCCAAGTCAAATTAAGCCCATATCAAGTCATGAAACTACTCTTAGAATATTTTCGGACACATTTGAAAGGTCAAAACAGATGTCAACACTAGCAAGTCTATACGCAAATCGAGCGTCTTGACAGGACGAATCTAACGAGCCCAATATCACTCAATTATGACATCATTAAGAAACTCAAATGTCAATTAAATGTTGTATGATCGATGGAAGCTCTCCGGATCGTCCGATCGTCGACCATCGCTAATCGTCGTCGACCATCACCGACCGTCGTCGACCACCACTGACCACCGCCAACCATCGCCGGCCGCCGTCAAATACCACCGACCACCGTCGACCACCACCGACCGTCGACGACCGCCGTCGTCGTCTACCATCGATCACCACTGACCTCCGTTGACTACCGTCGACCACCTCTAACTAGACGCTGTCAGTCGGCGGTATAACTTGGAAAGCTAGTAACTATTTCCCGTATGCGGGACAAAGGGTCTCGTAATCATAAATCAATAGTGGATTTTCGCAATTGATTTTTCCATTTTCGGGTTTTCCACGTAAAAACTTATGGTGTCATCTCATGTTGATTCTGTTTCATCTGAATATGTGTTGAATCCTCATGCGAAGCTAAGACGATAATACATTACTCTACTGCTATGAATTTTCTGACACGCATCAATAAGACGATAATACATTACTCTACTGCTATGAATTTTCTACGCATCAATAGTATTAATTCAACACTATGAAAAGAAATCTAAAAAGCAGCATCCCAATAATTAAATGAATATTATATGACATAATTTTTTTTTCTTTTTTCAGGAAAACGTATCATATTTTTGAGAGTGAAAATATTAAAAATCATAAAAAATCTTATATTGCTTTATCATTAACATATTAATAATATAATATTATATTGACTCTAGTAGTGCAACTTAGCGTAAGTCCAATGGGGACATGGGTTCGATCTCGTCTTAGTGTATCTGTCTTTTAGCGCGAGATCGATTGATTAGATATATGAGGATAGATGGGGCTATGATATATATATGCGCCGTGTACTTAGATTAGTTGGTCAGGTATCTGCTTGTTGGTTGCAAGTTCTCTTTGATCTGGGGTTCGATTTTCCCGAAATATAAGGTGTGTTACTTGAATTTTTAGAGCATGAGAAATGTCTGGCTCTCATAAATTAGCCTCCGACCATTTCTGTGTGTTATTGACTTCGAGCCTTGTCCCAATATCCAAATAAAAATGTTCGCACATTTAAAGGAACAGTAGCATGCAGAAGCTCCTTGCCATAATTCACGAAAACTCCAGTGGCATTTATGTAAAATTAAAAATGTGTGCTTTTTTAACCACTGATTACGCGACACGTATCAACACTTTCGAAAATTCGTACATTTTAAGGTTCACGTTGGTCTTCCTCACCACCCACATAGTAAAGCTCCGCGTCGAAATCGGAAAACAGATCAAAAAAATAAAAGTTCTAATCCCGCAATCAACCCACCTCCGATCTCCATATACGTAGTACAGAGTGATCGTGAGAGGAAAAAAAAAAGAGAGAGATGGGAAGGGGAAGAGTGGAGCTGAAGATGATTGAGAACAAGATTAATAGACAAGTGACGTTTGCAAAGAGGAGGAATGGATTACTGAAGAAGGCGTATGAGCTTTCAGTGCTCTGTGATGCTGAGGTTGGCCTAATCGTCTTTTCCAACCGAGGCAGACTATTTGAGTTCTGCAGTAGCTCCAGGTAATAGATATTAATTTGTTCGATCGGCTGGTTAATCGATGTCGTTTAGGTTTTTGCTTGGTGCATTCGCTTGATTCAGGGTTTTGGAAATAGCTGCGTGCTTTGCCATCGTGGTGGGCTTGGGATGGCGATCTTGGTCGGTGGTTGTGGGTTTGGTTGCCTGGATCCATGATTTTATTTCGGTGAAGTGGGTTATTTGGCTGTCTTTCCAATTTTTGTCTTGTCTGGAAGATTTGGGATGCTTTTGATGACATCGATCATCGTTGCTTTGTTGTCTGCTTATGTTTATGGGTTAGAAGGGGCTTTGTACTGTGTCTGTGTTTAAATGGTGATTATTTGGACATTGGGGGACGTGAAAACGGCTGCGGATTACTTACAATGCTTTGGGTTTAATTAATATATACTCTTTTTTGTATATTTTAGTAGATGTTTAGGCTCTTTACCTATTTGACTTCTTTAGTTTTTTTAGGCCATTTCGAGGTAAAGTTTCATCCAAATTTTGCATGTCTGTATTTGAACAAATACTTTAATGAAAAAATTTCTACAAAACAAAAAATTACTTGAGTTGAATTCATTTAGATAACGATCGAAATATTAAAAACTGAAACATCAAGATGAAATTTATTAGTAACTTTGAATATGGGATTTTATAGAAATGACAAGAATATCATCATAAAAACTATAATTAGGTTATGTTGCTAACACATTAAGGGAAGGAGTTTTGATGGAGTGATTCTTTGGGTTTTGTGAATTTTAAAACTCTGGCCATCATTGTTTGATGTTGGCTATTACGCCATGTCAATTGAGGAGCTGTGAGCATAGAAGCAAACAGACGTTGGAGCCGTGGAATGAGAGGAAAATAAAGAGATGTTTGTAAGGAATATTCTTTTGGTATTTACTCTTTCTTCCCCTTAGTTTGAACCAATCAGCACTATAAAATCTGTAATTTGTCTCTTTTGCATTCTCCCTGTAATATAACATGCATCTGTTGATGCAACAATCAACTTTTTCAGATAGCAGCCCCAACTTCACCACTAATGTTTTAGTTTTGTACAAATCTTATGGAACTAAATTACTACCAGAGTTTGGCTCCTTTAATAATTTTGCTACCTGATTAAAATATTCTCCAGGGATGTTAAAATCAGATTTGATACTCAGCATTTTTAGGGTGACTGTTAACTTTGTGCGTGAAGTGCATCATTCTCATAATGGTTGTTGGACAACATTTAATAGTTCATAGAATTGTCGCGCTTTACTGTTATATTCATGGTCATCATCAGACACACTCCTAACTAAATGAGCCCTGCTTGCATCATCAAACATTTGCTCAAACATGCCAGAATCATGAACAGTTGGTGGGGCATAACTTGATGAAACTCCCACATCACTGTAGTGAACAACTAGTTCAAATTCACTGCGTGAAGTCCAATACCAATAGTCATGTTTGAATCCCCTTTGATATTGGTCCAACTTTACTTCGTCAAGTGTCAGGTAAGCTTGATTTTTGTGCTTCACACAGGGGCATCATAACCTACCTTCTGAGAGGTAAACAAATAGATGTGATATCACATGCACGAACTCTTCAGCGTTAAAAATAAACTCATCAGTTTATCCTTTGATTTCTGGATATAATCCGTTATACACCCATGATCCAACGCTTCAAATATCTATCTGTATCATAAATGTAGCTCTATAGAGTAGTGCACTTGCACATTGCACATCATACTTGAAACCTTATGACACCCAAACATCATACCCGAAACACAGCCCACAAATGTAGAAAATCAACCTAAATTTTTCTGTTTACATGCATGACACAAACTTATGTGTGATATGCACCTACACAACACACCTAAATTTTCCTATTTACATACATAACATAAATTTCATATGTATTTACATTTCTCAAACCTAAATTTTCAACCCTAAACACATAACACAAATCTCTTATGTATTCATATATCTTACTCCTAAATTTTCATATTTACATACATATCACGAAATTTCTTTTACATTCAGATATCTCACACCTAAATTTCATATTTACATGCATACCTCAATTTTTATACATTCACATATCTCAAACCTAAATTTCATATTTACATACATAGCACAATATTTTTCTTATGCATTTACATATCTCGCTCCTAAATTTCGTATTTACATACATCGCACAAAATGTCTTATACATTAAGATATCTTACACCTAAATTTCATATTTACATACGTACCACAATTTTCTTATGTATTCACATATCTCACACCTAAATTTCATGTTTACATACATTCTACAATTTTCTTATGCATTTACATATCTAGCTCCTAAATTTCATATTTACATATATAGCAAAATATTTCTTATGCATTCACATATTTCACACCAAAATTTCATAGTTTTCATACCACAATTTCTGATGCATTTAATATCTCACACCAAAATTTTCATATAGCACAAATTTCCTATGTATTTACATATCTCAAACATAAAGTTAGGGAAAACCAAGAAATTTATATGCACTGCATATCTAACAATGGAATACGAAAAAAAACTTGAGCAAAACTTATGTATTTTACGATCTAACACCTTTGCAAGGAAAAAAAATGAAAACTTGTGCTAAATCAAACCTTGGAAGCGTGGAAGAAAATTTAACACCTTGGACGGATTTGGAGCGATAAATCGGCCCCGAAATTGCCGGAGAAGCTTGGAGGCCACAAAGACGACAACCAAATGCCGAAGAAAATTAATGAGCGAAAAGTGGAGCTGCGGTTTATGGGAGGGCTATTTTAGGGCTTTAGCGTCTGTCATGGTTGATGTTGATAAGTGAGATTAGCATTGGTCATAGCCGACGCTAATCCATAGCGTTGGTCATTCATCGACCACTTGACATAACTTTTCTGCATTGATTTTTTGGAAGCAGAACCATGCGGCGACGCTAAGCACGGATTTGGATCAGTTTGTGATATTGCCTCTTCATACAATTGTAATTTTTTCTATAATCTTAAGATTTTGAGATACAAAAGAAGAACCTTTACTCAGTTGTCTTTTTCCAATATTTTAAAATAAGATGCAGTAATGAACATTATCAAACTTTAACTTCATACTCTCTATATGAACTACTAATAAGTGTCTCAATTTTGACTTGCGATTTTAATAGTAAAGTTAACATGTTAAATGCATATATTTTACCATTGAACTTGATACAAATTAAGCTCAAGTAATTATTAAATTGAACTCATTGCTATGTACCACTACGTATATGAAGTACCTTCAATCCTCTTGAGATTAAAAAATTTTCACATTAGATAAATCTTTAACATCACTCTCGATCAAATAAACTAAGAAATATATGACATCTGTTTGGTGTGCGAAACCGTTTTATTTGCCGACAAGTTTCCCTATTTAATACAAAGAATTAAATAAAATTTATTTTAGGCTGGGTTCGGAAAAGTTTCCTATAAGGGCAAACTCCTATAGTTAATTACATCTTAAATGACCGAAGTCACCTAAGAAAACTCTCGATAAAAAATCAAGGAACACTATCTTCAAAGAAGTCAAAATGATAGGACTTTTCAACGAAATCGGACGAACCGGTGTGAAAGGGGAAATACTCGAATCTGGAACAATGTTGAGGAATTCAAATAGAGAGAAACTATGGGAGGTCATGGAACCGGAGGCGAACCTCGGTGACTTCCCAGTCTATCCTATGGTTTGGCTTCAGTTTTGAGAAAAAGTTATTAAAGTATTTCATCCTGCCAATTTTATATAATTAGGGCTTATATTTATGTGACATAGTCATACAAATCACCTGGAATATATGAGGGTTTACGTCGTATCGGACGACAATTGAAGATGGTCGTGCTGCCCACCGCGCTAGCTCCAAGCTCACCGACGTGACGAGTTTAAGTTTTCTAGGGTGTCCAGTTATAGTGTCAAATCAAACGGCCCTATGGTTGCAGTCCTCTAAATGTCCTATATAAAAAAGGGAGGCATGGCTAAAGCTATATAATATGAAATGTGCAATGCAGAAACAAACAGTAGAGTGCATGTGGAACAGCAGCAGGTAGAAACAGGAGCAGCATAACATGTTATACAGGAAGAACAGTAGCAAGTAGAAACATGAATAATATAACATGTTATACAGTACAGTATCAGGTAGAAACAGAAATGATATAACAAGCTGTACAGGAATAACAGTAGCAAGTAAAAACAAGAAAATAAAGTACTGTAAAATATAAATCAAACATGTATGCCCGTGAGATCCGTCGTTTCTTAAGTATAGTAAGCCTAAATGCATCTAAAAAACGAAGTCTGGAAGAAACGTCGTCCAGGAAATCCGAGGAAGAGTAGGAAACTCAAGAAAATCAACGAGAAGAGACTCAAGTAAAAGAAAATCCTCAAAAATCCTGGAGAAATCCCAAAAGAAAGAAAAAGTAACACGATTGTCATGTCCCAAAGCTTTGATAAAACAAAAAAAAAAGTCGGGTGAGGGGGGACCACGAGCACTCGTATGAGACTAGGCTCAGCTATATATTTATTCTCGAGGGTCCACGAAGGTTACTCGGTCACTCGAATGTATAGAACCCGCCACTCGTCTAGAAATGTGTCTTGAACCTCACTTAGAGGGCTATTTCCCAGCCTAAACAGATATTCGTCAGGTGGACAACCAACTTTAAAGTATGTTTTATGTTTTTTTAACATGCATACAAATTTTAAACATGCGAAAAAAGTTATCAATTTTGTTTTGTAGAAAAGTGTGTTTTTTTTTCTTGAAAAGAGTTTACCAAAAACTTAATTTTTCTTAGAAATCTTCGTTGTCCACGAGTCGATTACATTGTCGGGCGTGAGACTGTCAATCATCTGAGGAGGTTCGAGCCAACTCCCGCTAGACTTATATCGGTGAAGGATATCATATCCTATTGTTCATCAAATGCCTGGATCTTGATGTTATAGTATAGGACATTTTTCTGCTCTATCTTCGGTGTGCCTTTATCATCAACAC